AATCACACACACGTTCCTACATCACTTCCTCTGTGCCCGAGGACGTTGTCCAACATTTATACATGATGGAAGCATCAGGGACAACCTGGGGTCTGCTCAGGGACTTGGGGACCAACCCACTGATATTCCAGTTGGTAGGTGACCAGCTGGATGCCTGGACCACAGCCACTCTCAGACTGCTGAAACACATGAATTTAATGACACTGTGACTTCACAGTGTTTTCACTACCCCTTAATAATGTTTTGAGTTTTAATTGCACTATACATTACAAACAATACATTTTAAAACATTAAAATTATCATTTTAAATTAAAACTCTTATGAAGATTCATTAACCATTCCATTTTCAGAAAAAAGGAATTTTCTGGCAATTATTTAATTGTTCAGACTTTAACAGGCCGACTGTATTTTCACTGTGATTATTGGCTGTTGCCATGTTGTCGTTTCCTCTCCCATATTTAATAAAAAGTGCATTCTGGGTAAACTTTCAAGACTCACATCTGCATTAAAATATTTTAGATTCATGAAAGGTTTGTTTTTCACCTAAATTTGAAAGTAGGATCATTTTTCCAGCCCTGATTTCTTCAGGTTCAGAATCATTTTGTAAAGGCTGACTGTTTTTCCTGCGATGAAGCTGAAAAATGTCTCTGCTCTCATGCTTTCCATGATAACCCAGTCAGAAAATGTAACTTAATTTTAATTAAATCTCACAAGCCTTTGAGTTTACACAGAATGCATCCTTGGGCGTTATATGAATTATGAGAGAGGGGTCAAACATCCACCCAGGCATGTTTCTGCTGCTCTGTGTCACACATGTTTAAACTGGAGCTAATGGTTTCAGTGGAGAGCTAGCTGATGCTAATGCTCGGTGAGTTAAACGTTCGGAAATAAGATCATTAACAGAGGAAAGTTCTGACGTTTGTAGTATTTGCCACCTCTGGGCCACCGTAGCTCGGTCCTGCAGCAGGCTGGTATCAGACGTCCCCTCTCTGCCTACACTTATTTTCTGTGTGAGAGCCATCAGCAGTATTTCAAACATGCAGAGAACAGCCAGCAGCATTTAAGGGCCTCTGAGCTCTTGGCAGCTTGGCGTTCCCAATGAGCTCCTCTGGGAAGCTTTAACTGTGTGCAGTCGGAGCTCGAAGTCCTGAGAATTTAAACCAAACGGCCTTTTAAGCCCAACAATAAAATCCCTGCCATACAGACTAAGCTGCTTTGTGCGGTATTCATTTCTGGAGTTATAACCAGCTTCCTGTCACCAGTGCTGTGCATGGAGCTGCTCACAAATAACGGAAAACACGCCGCCGTCCTCCTGCTGTCCGCCTCCCTCTGTATAGCTAACAATTTTACGTGTTCATGAAGGTGAAGTTTTCCAGCGCTATCTGAGGTCCTCTCTGCACATGCCCAGTTCACTCCTTTTCTGTAAGTTAGTCCACATTGAGGACGATTACAGCCGAGTCCGAACAACCGAAGTGGACCCACATTCACACTGAGCCACTCTACCAAGCACACATTCTCACCCTTCACATTTCTGCAGGTCCCTCAGATTCTCACCAAAGACTGTGAAGAATTTCAATTGAGTAAGTTTCATAGAAATACAGAACCTTTGAAAACAGCATGACGACACAAAGTGTTTAGGAAGTCTCTCCTTTTCATTCCTGTCAGGTTTCAGGGCCTCTCAGCTACGATCCACACTTGATGATCTCGAGTGTGGCCTGATGTCATCAAACTGGAAATTAGATCCAGCACGAAGATCTGGACAGGCGGAGCTCTGAATGTTTAGAGGTTGAGGTCGGCTGAGGAGAAGGTGGCCTTCATCAGCACAAAGGTTAAGCTAATCAATAATCAGTTGAGGTGGCAGCTTTGAAATCGCTGCTCAGCTACACTTCATGTCCTGGACAACACTGCCACCGTGTGGACAGACAGCATAAGAGCAGCAAGTTCACAATTACTCCTAGGGTCAAAGGTCAGAGATCAGGGATTTGTTGGGTCTCATTCCCTGAAGCTGCCCGTCAGCCTCAGCAGTTTCATCACTCTTTAAGGTTCGACCAATAGAAACTGTCAGCTGATTGGTGTTTGATCACATTCATCAAAAACTAAAATGTGACCATCACAAACATCACAGTGATGTCATGTCTGGTGGATTTAGAGAGAAGGTGGATAAAAGCGCTTCAGTTCATCATCTGAGAAAATATCAAACAAGAAGAAGTCCCATTTTCTACATTTGTAAGACACCTTTAAAAGTTTAAAATCAGAATTGGATTCACGGTCCTCTGACACCCAGGCAGACCATCCTTTATTTACAGTAACTTCAGTTTATCTGATGAAAGTTTTAGCTCCAGAATATTAATTTATGTTAAGTTTGAAGCCATGTAAAAATAAATAAATAAATAAAAAAAAAAAACATGAGAGGGTGGGTCAAAGTTCAGCTCTTTAGATCAGGGGCGTCATAAGGCCCGGGCTCCAGAACCAGCCCGCCAGACAGCTTTGGAAAATATTTAGCAAATGCATTCCCCCATTCATACCACACTGAATCAATTTATAAAAATAAAAACTTAATTACCCTATAAATATGGGACAGTATGGTCTGTGTACTAACAGGACTTTATTGGTAATTTTGCTGTTCAAACTGTGCTTCATTTTTTATTCTTTAACCCTGTAATCCAATCCAACCCATCAAAGAAATATTATAATTCAGATGTTTAATAACCCTTATAACAATTGTTTTGCTATATCATGTTGTTTAAGATATATTTTGTTAGATTTTTTTTGCATCACAGTTGATACAGTGGGTGTTTTGGGCAACTTTTTGTTTACAAGAATGTGAAATTTAGACCCCCAAAAAGGTTTTGTCCATAACATTTTGAAATTATGTCAAGTATTGATCATGTTGATGAGCTCTCAGACACTCATGTAGCAAATATGATACAAATGGCATAATACGGTTAATGTGATGTGAGGACTGAGCGCCGGCAGCTCAGCGTTTGATGTTTGTGTGACAGTAAGATGGAGACAGAGACGAGGCGTCGGCTGTTCGGTCGATTCGTTTATTATTTCCCGCACAAAAACAAATACAGCTGTTTTTAGTAGAAGGTGTTTGGTCTCTTGGTGGTGAAGCGGGGTTTGTGCTGGCGGCGCAGGACCCGGTGGGGCAGGGGGAACCTGATCTTGGAGTCCTGCAGGGAAACACAAAAGTCACACGATCAGACGTTAAAGCGCCAAACAAAGGCGCTAACAGTTGTCTGTCGCCAGCTTCATGACCGCCAGGTTTAAAGATGGAGACTCGAAACCTGGAAGAGGAATCTGGCCATTGGTGTGGCGGGTTTTCAAGCTGAAGCTGACAATGGTGGCAGCAGCCCAGAGAGAGTCCCGCCTCCTGATGAGGGAGGGCAGCGAGAGGAAGACTTACGTGGAACTGCTTGATGGCGGGTCTGCGACACTTGTTGGCGGCGATCACCTGCACCTTCATGATCTGGATTGAGTGGGCACGAGCACGATGGCGAGCTCCCATGTCACGATCTGAAAGAGAGGTTAGGAGGCAGAGCTTAACAAACAGGAAGCAGCCGCTCTGTGCAGACATCTGTTGATAAAATCTTCTACGCCCTGCAAAATTAAGGGTTTTTAGGGTTTAGATAAAAATTAAACCCTAAAAACGCTCAGACGTCACCTGCTGCTCTTCGTTTCTACTAAGGTACAATTTTTAGATTCAGATGTGAGCGAAATGCTCGCCTTCCTGCTCGTTAGAGATCATTGATCAGGCGCTGGAGGAAACGGCATCAGTGATGGAACAATAATAGTTCAGTAATTTTAGATGTTTAAATTAATCCTGTTAAATAATCCAGATGATGACATTAATTCATCATTAAGCCTAAAACCTCCTTAGAGGCAGGAGTTACGTCCACACTCAGGTGTTTGACCACCAGCTGTCAGCTCAGACCAAACACACCATAGCGCTGACACACAGCTGGGTTTAGCAGCTCAAACAAAAACCAGTGAACAGGCGCTTCAGAGCGCTCGTGCGAGCTCAGCTGGACGTTGGAGCCAGGAGGTCCTTAAAACCGTGGAGAAACTGCAGGAGCACGCTCAGATGCCATGAAACTACAAAACGGAAATGATTCTGCAGATTTACTGTCCGAGGTTTCCATCGGCGCGTCCTTAGCAGAGAAATCCTCACAATGAAGAACAAGTCAGAAAAATTTAATCTGGCTGCACGCTGACCATCGTTAATTTTACTGGCGAAAACATTTCCAAGTTTTCATCAGCAAACTTTTTTCCTGACAAAAACACAACGATCAATATATCTGCCAGGAAAGCACAAAGCCAGCTCCCCATTTCTCATGAAAACACGACAAAAGGTCAAAATCTGAAATCATCTTTAATATTTTGCTGCTGTGAAAAACAGAATTCCCACTTTTGGGATTAACCGTAAACCAAGCAGATCCAAACCTCATTCTCACCGTGATCCAGGTAAATTCGTCTGATTTCTAAAAACAGTTTCTAACGGCGCCTCGTTGGCCCGCTGTTAGTACTCACAGCACTGAGTGACGGCTCCAGATGTGGTGAGGTCCCTGTACTCTCTGTACATGTTGTGGGTGCCGCTGCGGGAGTCGTAGCGCAGCCAGATGCCGAAGTTCTTCACCTTCAGAGGCGTCTTCTCGTTGACCTGACCGGAAAACACGACGAGCCATTAGACGATGTCAGAGTCGCTAACAAGGAAAAAAGAAACGAGGGTTAAACAGAGACTCACCAGGCCGCAGTAGACGATCTCTCCGGATGCCTTCTTCATCTTCCTCAGCTGAGAGACAAAGTACCAGAAGCGAGACTTGGCTACGATGTGGTTCGGGGCGAAGATCCTCATCCGGTAGAGAGGGGGGGCGGGGTTCTTAGCCGAGGGCAGCAGACGCCCAATGACCTTATACTCCCTAAGCTGTGGGAAGAAAATGAAGATGCGTCACATGTAGGTAAAATGATCAAAGCAACAACAGCGAGACAACAATAGGACATGTTGATCCCTGAATTCACTTTCAGAGGCACGACAGCAGCAGAGAAAGGCGACAAGGACCAAGTTCCTGTTCGCACGCCAGACAAAATCACGCCACGAAAACGGCGTGACCTTTGGGTTTGGGTGCGTACGGAGACATCACAAATGACACACAAGCTACAAATAACATTGCTCACTTAAACATCACCAAAAACAAACTAATAATAAAATAACAGTTTCATTTTCTTACCGCAAACACTCAAACGTGATTAAATTATCATTAAACTGACGGATCTGAGGTGTGTGTAGTGGCATTTTGGCTAAAAAACAAAAACAAAACTTTAAAATGACTTCAGTTTTATTGATATCTTAAAGCTTTTTTGAACAATTATATTTTAAACTACAAATAACACAATCCTCTAAAAATTTGTGTTTTTCTATTAAAAACAAGAATCCATAACTTTTTCCTTTTATCTTATACTTCCTCGGTGTTAGGTTGGGGTTTTTTTTGCTGTCATCATTAGCCGAAATCTTTCTTAGCATTTCCTATTTCTATCACCACCACAGGTGTGCACACACCTGCCACTGAATTACTGAGTATCTGGAGAAAACCTTAAATTGCGCTTTTTTTAAAAAGAGGTTCTGCAGCCGCTCCATTCAGTGCTTTCTATACGGATTAAAGGCAGTTCATTGAGTCCGTGTTTCAGTTTGTGCTGCCAAGCCTTTGTGTCTGTTTCTGAACACTTTTATATCAACTCCAGTTCTGGCCTACAGTGGAGAATAACTGCTGTGAGCTGGAGGAGTTTTTACGGTACTCATTCACTGACCGCACTCGCTTTGAAAAAGTAGCGATTCTACAAAAAAAAACTGTTTAAGACTTTTTAAAAACAAAAAAAAAAAGCTCCACAAAGTCCAGATATTTATAAAACAATGATTAAAAACTACAGTTCCTACTAAAAAACCGGCTCACTATGCCTGGTTAAAAAGCACGCCGATAGCTCGGGTCAGAGATGAACTCACATTAGCTGCTAACGTTAGCTTCTACTAGCGCAAATCAAGCTGCGCTGAAATTAAATCAGATTAAATATGATCAGTGCTACTGCTGGACCGCTGTCCACACCTCAAGCCGAGCTCATTTTCTCAGTGAAGGCGTGAGAGCTCGCACTCTCTCCGGCTGCAGCCCTCAGTTTGAGCCCAGTCCACATGGTGCTGACGCCATGTTGTAGACGCGAACGCACCGGGGTGAAAAGACTCAAATTGCCGCTTTAAGTCGTACTTTATGGAAATAGCTCTGCACGAGCCCATCAAACTAGACGTTATTTTATTAAATGTGCTGTTAGAAGCCGCGTGTGAAGAGTGAAAAAGTGTAAATTTAGGGTTTACGTACTGTGCCGGACGCCTTCATGGTGCCTCTCGCTCACTGCCACAGTAAAAGAGGAAGCAGCAGGGCGGAGCATGCGCACGTCAAATGGAGGGCGGAAGTTCCATAGAGGTGCCGTCCGAGTTGAGTTCCCCCCAGAAACCGAAGAAGATAAGTTATTGACCCATAATCTGTCAAACAATCTGTGTCAGCGATGGTGTGACTTCATTCTGAGGCTAAAATCTGTTTTTAATGAATATCTGACCGAGAGAGTCAAATACAACTCAGCAGCCCCGAGAGGAGGGTTAAATGGCAGGAAGCTCTGGACTGATTATAATACAAGTGATTTCTTTATTTGAAATATATCCTCTTTATAATCCTGCAGGGTTTTACCAGAATAATCATGAACACTGGACATCAAACACACAGATGTATGTTTACATATATCTGTCTATATCTTAAATAGAAAGATATAGTGCTTATCCCTATATCCTTATAAGAAAGATCAGGCTTCCTGCTGTTTAATGAACAGCAGGACGAGTCTTCAGTCAGCACATCAAAGCACGGAGGAGAAAACAGGCTCGTGGTTCAATCCCCGTTTAGAAATACTGTTTTAAGACCACAAAAATGTTACAAAATAAAGAGTTTGACCAAGATGGTTTTTCCACTGCAAGCAGGTGGAGCTGAAGAAAGAGGGCTCCACACTGATATGATCAATATGAGAGTCGATCACTCTTGATTATTGATTTATTATGTCACGCTCTGATTGGATGCCTGAGTGTGGGAGAATCAGCTGTCAGCTGTGTCCTGTCATGTGCTGTCTGAGGGAGCACATCTGTTCCACATCGATCATGGCTCAAGAGTTAGGAGTTCGCCTTGTAATCGGAAGGTTGCCGGTTCGAGCCCCAGCTTGGTCAGTCTCGGTCGTTGTGTCCTTGGGCAAGACACTTCACCCGTTGCCTACTGGTGGTGGTCAGAGGGCCCGGTGGCGCCAGTGTCCGGCAGCCTCGCCTCTGTCAGTGCGCCCCAGGGTGGCTGTGGCTACAACGTAGCTTGCCATCACCAGTGTGTGAATGTGTGCGTGAATGGGTGGATGACTGGATATGTAAAGCGCTTTGGGGTCCTTAGGGACTAGTAAAGCGCTATATAAATACAGGCCATTTACCATTTACATGCTCCTTCAGATGTTTACCTGCTGTAAAGCTGTGATCTGAACTCTTAAATTCAAAGTAAAGTGTGCACTCTTTCTTCCTGTGGCATGATTATTGTCATCACACGGTTACAGGTGTTCACATACTCATGGAATCTTTAACCTTGTATAATTAAAAGAAGAAGAAGAAGAAAAAAACAAGAAGAAGAATGTATTATCTTGGTAAATGTATTCTTTAGTGTCTTTTGACTTCATAAGAAACAGATCTAGTAATCATGGTCTATGTGCTTGCCTATAAAAGTTCATCTTTCCCATGCTGAACCCATCTTGTGACTTTCATTAAAGAAAACAAACTAGATGTTAAATCTGTGACCTCAGGAACAACACAAAGGGCCTACTGTGTTTTCTGTCCTGTTATTGTCACCTTTTAGCCTTTTGTATGCCTGATTTAAAATAAATAAAGCGGTCTTGATTCAACATCTCCATGTCAATGAATCTACTGATCTAATGACGCAAAGGCTGTGTAAGACAGAGAAAATGACAGTTCCAGCTGAACTTTAACTTTTAACCTCAAAATTAAATCCAGCCGAAATTCAGTCTGAAGCTTCTCTGCAGTCTGATTGCTTCACTGAAAAAATACATAAATAAATAAAATTAAAAAAATCAAGAAAAGATTGCACAAACAGAGGAATTAAAATGCTAATGAAATGCTCAAAATTAGAGTTAGGGTTCACTTGTTGGATCACTTGTTTTTCTCAGTCCACTCCTTTTGAATTGATGCGTGGAGCTGGCTACAGCCGAGGGGAATTCAGTTACCACATTTGACGGTAACTGTAGTTAAACTTGGGGTGCTTGCTGAGAACCCAATTTAGACTTCGTGATTAGGACTGTCTTGTTACTGGGAAACATTTTTATTCACAAATGCAGACATTTCAAAGCTAAACCATGTATAAACAGATGGCTGAATGATCTTAAACTCTTGAGTAAGTTGCTAAAACATGTAAATGACAAGAAAGCCTGTAAACTTGTTGTACTATTCAATAAGTTCAGTTTATGTTCAAAGGAGGCCTCTCTATTTGAAATGTGGATCGTGATTTCCCTTTTTATTCTCATGGTCTATGCCTATACTCTCAGATTTTACATTGCCCTTTCTTTCTTTCTTTCTTTCTTTTTCTTTCTTTCTTTCTTTCTTTCTTTCTTTCTTTCTTTCTTTCTTTCACTATTCTTTTTCTGTTCTTTTTTATCTTGTGGTAATGCTCAACCGTAACAACAACAGTTTGTTTTTGATAAAGTTCATTAAAAAAATAAATAATTAAAAAAATGTGCACGTTTTGCTGACGCAGTGACGGCGGACCCTCTTCCGGGTCACGCGCGGTGAGCCGGAAGTGATCGTGCGCGGACACGCTGCGTGCAGTGGTACTCCCGGCGGCTCTGTAAGGCGCTGACGGAGAAGAACCACCGGAGGAGGACGGTTTCATTAAGGTAGGATCTCGTCCTTCTTCTCCCCTCTGAGCTCTGTCTGTGAACTGCAAACGGGGCTGAGGCTTGCTGAGTTTTTTTGCGTGAGGCTTAAGTTGCTGTGGAGCTCGCGGAGCCGCGGGCAGGTAGCCTCACCGGGCCGTCATAAACCGGGGAAGAACCTCCCTCGGCTCCATCCGCTCCCCCGCACCGTCACAGCCGATCTAATTAAACACCTTCGGGTGAAGTCGGCGGGGTTTGGTTGAGTTTCAACCATGCGAGGAGCGCCCTCCGCCCGCCCGCGAGTTCAGCGGCTAGCTGGCGTTAGCAGCTAGTTTGTTCCGATGTGAAGGTGTTAGCTCGGAGCTAACTGACGAAGGTGGGCTTCATCCAGGAGCTGCGACATGGAGATATCCGCCTGGGGCTCAGGTGTTCGGTAGAGATGAGACCGTGTGCTGTGGGTGGTGTTTCGGTGTAAACATGGAGGCTGGAGTATTGGCCCCGTGTTGCATCACCCTCGGTCTCCGTCGTCCACAAACGCCACCCGAGCTGTCACTGCGGGCAAGAGCACTGCCAGCTCACCTGGACTGACTATCAGCTGGACACCTATTTACCTGTCATAGTACATAGCCAACGTAATTCAGTCTGTAATTTTGATTAAATCTGGTTTTATAAGAACGCTGGACAAATTCTCTAAATTGGGCCAAAAGTGAATGGAGTCTGGTAGAGAAATGCCCGTTTTCTACAGCAGATTACCCATGTGTTATTACTGTACAGCAGTGTACACATACTCGACCACGTACTTGGTTAATTTAAAAAAAAAAAAAAACGAAGCTAATTAGGTTAAGAAGAGCATCTAAACCTTTCTTTATTGAAATATAATAAAAAGTGAATGGAGTTTGGTAGAGAGGCGCCCTGTTTATCCAGCTGTGTTAATAATCAACTTAATCATCCCACTAGAGCTGGGCGATATGAGATTTTTTCATATCACGATATGGTTTTTTCATTTCAGGCGATAACGATATGTTTCACGATATAAGCCAAATAACTATATTTGTAAGATTTAAATGTGCCGTTGCTCACAAGTAAAATGTGAAATAATCAGCAGCTTGTTTTTATTTAAATATTTATTTCCCATAATAAGTTCAACAGGGTAGATGTACTTAAGGAACATGAGACTTTTTCAGATAAATAAAGGCAAATATTGCAAACTACACAAAAGGCAGCCGCTAAAGCGTTTAAGTTTCAAAATAGAACAAACGAAACAGACTAAATGTCAATTCCACTTAGAAACAAAATATTAATTCTAAAAATAAATCTTAGTTTGTTTTACAGAAGAACAGACAAAACTGACTAACTTTTGTCAATATCAAATAAACTGAGAACTAAAAGGAAATTCTCAATCTCTCCTTGTTGTATAGCTTAGCTTTTCACAGTTAACAGTTACTTTAGTCTGACAAAAGCCGAATGACGAATTAGCGCTTCCAGTCAGAGACTGAGGCTACGTCCACACGTACACGGGTATTTTTGAAAACGGAGATTTTCCGTTTTCGTTTTAAAAAATAATCCCGTCCACACATAAAGGCAGAAATGAAGGAAAACGCTGCTATGAACATGCCAAAGCAGCAGGTGGCGCTAATTCCTAACCGTGCAGAAATATTGGCCAATCAGAAGTCTAGAAGCCTCGGTGGGAAAAAGTAAACAAAGCTGGGCATAGAAGCAGAACCGAGTCGTATGTGTGGAGAGACAGTAACTGTGTGTAAATGTAAGCATTTAAACACTGCAGAGAGTAGAATTAACAGTATTGTAGAAATTCATTTCACCGAAACAATAACGTGGCGCACAGTGTGACGCATGCACCAGTTTATTGTATTTCCAGACTTGCTTTCGGCACAATTTACAGTGCACGCTACTCTGTTTTTTGTCAGACTTGAAATAGCCGAAATACCTTCACACTACGGAACTTCTATGGCTCTTCCGTTTGACAATCTCTCCGGCTTGGAACCATCATCTGTTTTCTCTTCGGTCACGCTCGGTTGATTTTTCTAGTCGGCACACTCATTTCCTCCATTACCCGCTGGCTGCTTCCCAAACAAACACACTGCGGCTTGGCACTTGTGCTATACGTAACAAGTCACGCGACGTGACGCTGCGGCTGTGATTGGTTCGGCTCTGCGCTACTTAATTTGGATTGGCTGACCTTTTTTTTTTTTTTTTTTTTTAGAGGACAAGAGCGGCGAGGTCTATCGCGATAGCTTAATTTCTCTATCGAGTAAAAGTTATATCGCGATACATATCGTTATCGTTCTATCGCCCAGCTCTACATCCCACCCTTGCTCACATGTTACTGTATCAACTATTTGATTGTTTATCATCACTACAGTGCAGAATCAAATTTCCACTAATCTGATAAAAAGGGAATGGCCTTTGGAAAGAGCCACATCTCTGGAGCCTTTCTTTTTGAGTTATTACTTTTATCTGACAACATCAGTCACATACTTTGAGTCTTTTATTCATTACATTTGTATTTACAAACAGCAACAACAAGTCTTAAGTACACAAAGGAAAGAACAACGGACAAGATTAAGAAAAGGGATAGAAATAAGCAAGAAGAGGCAGAAAAGGGAGAGGAAGAGTTTTTTTTTTAAAATGGAGGAATCAAGGGGAGAAGGAGGGAAGGAAGTAGGATATGAATGAGGGAATATAACTAAAGTAGGATGAAGGAAAGGAAGGACAAATTAAAATAAATAAAACTTTTTTTTAAATGGAGTCCATTCACTTTTTATTTAATGGAGTCTGTATGTTTTCCTGGGATTTCTGATTATTCACTAAAAATAAGTCTCTTGTGCTTCTTTAACTGTAACCTTAATAACTCTAAAGCTGATCGTGTTTCTTTGGCTTCTGTTAAAACAGTTTACCTGAACAAATGACACCTGAAACCTGTAACTGCCCTTAAATCATCTAATTAATCTGCTTCAATCTCACTAACCTGTGCTGTGACAATCGTCTCTTTCCTTGCTGCAGATGAGAGAGTTCTGGCCGGCAGCAGCAGAGAGGAGTGAACTGGCCTTGGAGGAAAGCTAACCCACGAATGGCCTGCCAGTCTGTCGCTGTAGTCATGGACGAGCAGGCCCTGCTGGGGCTCAACCCGAACGCCGATGCCCGCTACAGGCAGAGGGTGAGGCACTACCACACATCGCCACTGATACCCCCCACCCACACACCCAAAACAGTCACAAAAATCAAGCAGGATGGGTTTACAGATGCATGAGTTGAAAATGGTTCAAAGATGACACGTCAGGAGCTGAAAGTAGTAAATCTTACTCAATGTCACGGGTACTTTAACAGAAGTAACGCAGCAAAAATGAGGTTAATCAGTGGAGTGAAGGAAGAGTCTGGGTACTGAAGCTTCAGGTTGTTCAGAGGATCTGGAGGAATAATCACGAGATCAGGTTTAAATCTCTGCTAGAGAACGAGGATGCTCTGCACCATGAATGCATCCGGCCAGCCTGACAGATTATCTGCCACTTTCACTTCATCCTGCAGGTGTTTACAGGTCTTTTCTCACTGTGTTTGTGTTTGAGCTGGTACAAAACTGCATTCAGTCATACTTAAACACGCTGAAGACACTTCTGTTGCTCCGTTTCAAAGATGAGACACAAACCACACGGTGCAGAGCTTCCAGAAACACAACTTCTTAGTTAAAGACAGCGTTCAGGTGCTGAACTGGCCTGCTAAAAAAAACATCTGGAGCTTCATCAGCGTCCAATAGAAACAAGATAAGCAGAGCACACTCAGATCAAAACCTGACATCAGCACCAGTAAACCCTCTGCGGATGTAAAGGTGCAGGAGAGGAGGAGGTGTGAGAGCTGCTTGAGTAGAGCAATAGCTGGTGATGTCATTGATGTCGCCCTTCTGTGTATTTCCAGGCTATCGCTTACTTCGAGCAGCTGAAGGAGTCTCAGGACGCTTGGGAGGTTTGTGCTGAGGCTCTCGCCAAAGGGATTTACAGGTGAGTGCCCCGCCCACACACCACAGGTGTGTTAGAGTCGTACCTGCAGCTGTTAAATGCATTTCTGTGTTTCAGTGATGACCACGTCAAATTCTTCTGCTTCCAAGTCTTGGAGCATCAGATCAAGTTCAGGTGAGAAAGAAGCTTCTTCACACGTGATCACATGATGAGTATTACCTGCTGGAGCTGCTCTCACGTGTGTGTGTGTGTGTGTGTGTGTGTGTGTGTGTGTGTGTGTATTACAGACATTGCAGTTTGAGTGCTGTTCAGCAGCAGCTCATCAGAGAGACTCTAATGAAGTGGCTCCAGTTTCAGGTATGTCACAACTTTGTGCCAGTTTAAACATCACAGTAATGTTCACTGTTTTAGTGGTGCAGATTTGAGCCTCGCTCACATCTCCTCACAGACTCGCTGTCACGTCTTTCGTCTCTTCCTCTTCCCCGCAGCTGATGAACACTCAGCCCGAGAAGGCCTTCATCAGGAACAAGGCAGCACAGGTGTTCGCCCTCACCTTCGTCATGGAGTACATGACTCTGTGGCCCAAGTTCTTCTTCGACATCCTGTCCCTGGTGGGTCTGAATCCCCACGGAGTCGACATCTACCTGAGGACACTGATGGCCATCGACGCCGAGGTGGTGGACAGAGACATCCTGCACACGCCGGAGGTCAGAAAGCGGATCATGATGGGAAAACTTTTGGTGGTGTTTTATATTTGTTGCTGAGTTAGAGAAGGAGAGCAGGCTGATGTGGGAGGAAGAAGCCTCTGCAGGAAAGGAAACCCGCAGAGCTCTGGCCCACACGTTACTCACAAAAACAGACTGGTTTCTAAGGAAGAGTGGTCACATGACCCAACAGGAAATGTGTCATAGGAAGCGTTTGTAGCTTTGGTGATGATTTCGCTGCATGTATTCCTGCAGGAGACTCGCAGGAACACGCTGATCAAAGACAGCATGAGGGAGCAGAGCATCCCCAGCCTGGTGGAGTCCTGGTTCCAGATCCTGCAGACGTACCAGCAGTCCCACCCTGAGCTCACCTGTCAGTGCTTGGAGGTGGTCGGAGCCTACGTGTCCTGGATCGACCTCAACCTCATCGCCAATGACAGGTCAGAACAAGCACGGGGAGAGGCGTCGTATACATGATTTCTGACCCTTGGCCATCACGTCTCACCTGTTTTTGTGTTTTCAGGTTCGTGAACCTGCTGCTGAGCCAGATGTCCATGGAGGAGCTGAGGGAGGAGGCCTGCGACTGCCTGTTTGAAATCGTCAACAAGGGAATGGATCCAGTGGACAAAACCAAGCTGGTAGAGTCTCTGTGCCAAGTGCTACAGTCAGCAGGCTTCTTCAACGTGGAGCAGGTTAGAGTTACCATGGATACAAGGAACACGCCCATCACAGCCACAGAGGCTCACGAGGGTCCTGAAAATGTCTGACAGTGACTTAAAGCACCGTTCTGCTGTTTTTATAAATATTTCCAGCTGTGACTTAAATGTAAACATGAAACATTTCCATCGTCCATCCATCATCGTTGTTCACAGCCTGTCCAGAGCTAATCAAAAGACACCAAGTGAAGAATAGCTGCTGTAGATCATCGTTTAACACAAGAATATTTTACTTAAAGGAAAAAAGCAGCAACACTGAGGCCTCAGTTCTACAAAAACTCAGTGTTTATGAAAGGAGGATTTGGTGTTTGTGGTCTGACAGCTGGTTCGTTAAACATGTATCAGTTTAAAAATTGATTTTGTTTTCTTAAGTTTGCAGCGCTGAACTGTTCCTGCAGAATGTGTTTCCGTTACAGCTTCATGTTTATGTTTCCTCTTCCTGTCCCCTTTAGGAGGAGGATGTGGACTTCCTGGCCAAGTTCTCACGGCTGGTGAACGGCATGGGTCAGAGTCTGGTGCTGAGCTGGACCAAGCTGGCAAAAACCGGCAACGTGAAGGATGCAGCGGAGACGCTGCAGGCCGTGGAGGCCAAAGTGCCTCTGCTGCTGCAGCTGCTGGTGCACGAGGATGACGACATCTCGGCAAACATCGTGGGCTTCTGCTACGAGTACCTGCACGTCCTCAAACAGGTGAGGCTTCTGAGGCCCGGGCAGCTTTTCTAACTTTTAGGAACAAGTTTAAAAGTGAGAACATGTTAAAAATTAGGGACCTTCGGGTCTCACAGCAGTGGTTTAAAATGTTCTGAGGTTGTTTTCTGTTCATAGCTTCCTCAGCTGACGGACCAGCAGAAAGCGAACATCGAGGTGAGTCTCTGAGCGCGCTCAGTGCATTCTCACGTCTTTATCTGAGGGCAAATCATTAAAAAGTTTTCTCGCTGTCACCATAGGCCATCATGCTCGCTGTAATGAAAAAACTCACGTACGATGACGAGTACAACTTTGAGAACGAGGTGAGTTTCTGTTTCTTCCTCTGTGAGGGCGGGGCAGAGCGGCAGGCATTACACCTGCTGTTGTTGTTTCTCAGGGCGAGGACGAGGCAATGTTTGTGGAGTACAGGAAGCAGCTGAAGATGCTTTTGGATCGACTCGCTCAGGTTTCACCGGAGCTGCTGCTGGAAGCCGTCCGCCGCGTCTTCACCAACACGATGCAGTAAGAAATGTTTTGATTTGTTTAGAGAGGTGGGAAAAACGCAGCTGCCATGTTTCAGCTGTAATGTCTCCTCTTAGGAACTGGCAGACAGCACCCTTCATGGAGGTGGAGGTCGCCATCAGGCTGCTCTACATGCTGGGTGAGGCCTTACCGGCGGCGCATGGTGCCCACTTCTCTGGAGACACGGCCAAGACGAGCGCCCTGCAGGACATGATGAGGACGGTGAGTCACATGACCGCTCGGCTGTGGTTCGGCGTCTGTGTGGCAAAATTTTAAACGCGTTTTCTTTTTGAACCCTTAGCTGGTTTCCTGCGGTGTCAGCAGCTACCAGCACACCTCCGTCGCTCTGGAGTTCTTTGAAACGGTTGTGCGATACGACAAGTTCTTTATCGTGGAGCCACAGCACATTCCTGGCGTGCTGATGGCGTTCCTGGACCAGCGAGGCTTGAGACACAACAGCCCGAAGGTCCGCAGCAGGGTGGCCTACCTGTTCTCCAGATTCATCAAAACCCTACAGTGAGTCCAGCTTCACTTGCTGCACAATATCACATGTTTCAGTTTCTAATGGCAAGCCGTTGCCATTGGAAGCCATGTGATGCCGTTGATGCGGCAACAGGCTTCACAAGTGTGCGCTACACCAAGAATAACTCCACCACAACAAAATGTGATGTTTACACAGAAAACAGCAAAACTACAACCTGAGAAAATATTGTTTCATAAACTCTTTGAGCTGTACCAGCTTCTTTTTAACGTAATAAAACAGAAACTACAGCTGTCATTTCGTTCACAGTAGCCATGGAAACACAAACTGTTAGATCAGATTTGTGAGTTTCTTGTGGTTGCCAGCAGGTAGATTAACAGCAGTGGTGAGTCCACACATCACAAACATTTAGGATGAGTTTTATTGTCGTGTGGATGACAGCGTCCGGAGGGGGACGCACTGAACATGTGCAAACTTTTGTATGTAAAACTACATGTCTAGCCATGTTTTTAAAAAATAATTTGTAATATTTAGTCTTTTGAAATCAGATGATTCTTTTTCTTTCTATATTACCACAAAGACAAAAAAGACATGAAACGTGTGAGCAAGTTGCCCTCTGACGCTGAACCTGTTCATAACTCAGGCTGGAGTCAAGTTCAGTGGTCTATGATGACTGTTTCGATCTGTCGGCTTTATCAGGTTTTGACCTCCAGCTTTCACTGGTGTGGCTCTCAGCTGTTTACCCATTTATTAAGATTTCTAACCTCCGCTCTGGTCATGAGTAGAAAGAATGATGCTAAGGAACTTAGCCTCAATCTGGAAGGCAGAGTGAGGTGGATCTGACCAGGAGGCCCCCTCAGTGAGGCCTTAAGGCCCCGAGGCGTCTGCTCAGGCTGCTCCATGACAGAAATATAGAATGACACTCATTACAGTCGGATGTGAATCTAATGTAGTTAATGAATCCATGAACGAAGAGTCTGATTTAAGAAAGAACATACGAATGATTGAAAATACGCTCAGTTGACTTTAAAACCCAGTGTTCGTTTACCGCTCTCTGTTGGCAGTAAACACATGAATGCCTTCGTCGAGGACATCCTGACGAGGATTCAGGACCTGCTGGAGCTCACTCCACCTGTGAGTATCACAACACCACCTCTTCTTGCTGTTTCCTCCTCCTATACTAACTCATGCATTTCTCTGTCTAGGAAAACGGTTTCCCGGCACTCCTGACCAGCGACGACCAGCTCTTTATGTTTGAGGCAGCCGGCATCCTCATCGTCAACAGCGAGAGCCCTGTGGAGAGGAAGCAGGCACTGATGAGGAGCCTGCTGACACCGCTGATGGACGCCTTCCGCCTGCTACTCACCAAACTCCCCCAGGAGACTGAGGAGGAGCGTCAGACCGCCCTCGCCGACTGCCTGAGTCACGCCGTCGGCTTCGCCAGGTGAGAATCCATCAACGATCTATTTATTATTCTGTCCACCGCCACGGCGTGCTACTCACCTCGCCACCGTCTGTGGCATTTCAGCCGGACCAGCAAAGCTTTCAGCAACAAGCAGACAGTGAAGCAGTGTGGCTGCACCGAGGTTTACCGGGACTGCCTGCAGGCCTTCCTGCCCGCACTCAGCTGCCCCGTGCAACGGAGCGTGCTGCGCAGCTCCGTGCGCTCGTTCCTGCACCGCATGATCATCTGCATGGAGGAGGAGGTGCTGCCCTTCGTCCCCGCTGCCTCAGAGCACATGCTGAAGGACTGCGAGGCCAAAGATCTACAGGAGTTCATCCCGCTCATCAGCCAGATCACTGCCAAGTTTAAGGTAAGCCGCCGCTGAACCAGCACCAAACCTTCCTGCACACTCTGACCGCATCCTTAACAAACTTCTCCTGTTGCCACGGCAGCGGCAGGTGTCTCCCTTCCTGCAGCAGATCTTCATGCCCCTCGTCCTTGCCATCTTCGAGGTTCTGGCACGCCCGGCAGAAGAGAACGACCAGACAGCGGCACTGGAGAAGCAGATGCTGAGGAGGAGTTACTTCAGCTTCATCCAGACCATCGCAGGAAGTGGGATGAACGAGGTGATGGCCAATCAGGGTGAGCGCCACTCAGCATGCCAAGAAACACGTAGACACAGAAGTAGGGTCTGAACCTCACAGGGGAGGGCTCATTCAGGGAAAGGAAGCATAGAAGGAATGATGGGAAAAGGAAGGAGAGAAAATGGATTAGGAACAAGGAAGTACAAAGGAAGAAGGGAAGGAATGAAGGGAAAAAAAGAGATGGTAGGAAGAAGGAAACAAATGAGGAAAGGAAACAAGAGGAGAAAACGGTCCAGAATATTTTTTTCTTATTATACTTAAAATGAAAGAACAGGCCAAAGTTAAATGTTTTGTTTCCAGGGGCAGAAAACATGGAGCGCATCGTGTTCACCATCATTCAGGGCGCTGTCGACTTTCCCGACCCCATCGCGCAGAAGACCTGCTTCATCATCCTCACCAAACTGGTGGAGCTGTGGGGTGAGTCTGAAACATGACCTCGACAGGAAGTCGTGTCCTGTGAGCAGGAAGCTCGTTTTCTGTCGCTCCCTGCTGGTCAATACAGGGTGTGAGCTTCACTCTTCTTCTTCTGCAGGAGGTAAAGACGGCATGGTGGGCTTCCCCGACTTTATCTACAAACACATCGTCCCAGCCTGTTTCCTGGCTCCCCTCAAACCAACCTTTGACCTCTCAGATGCACAGACGGTCCTGGTGAGTTTCTTTAATTCCACCTTTAATAAAAAAAAAAATCGCGTTTTGGTGACAAGCCTCAACTGTTTTCTTTTTTTCAGGTTCTGTCGGAGTGCGCTCTCACACTGAAGATGATTCATCTCAAACGGGTAAAAATGTGTTTTTGTGGTTGACCAAGCTTTGTTATGTGTCACCGCGCTTCCGCTTGAACACGTGCTGTTTTTGTTTCAGGGACTCGAATTCATCCAGTTCTTGCAGCAGGAGTACCTGCCATCACTCCAGGTGGCCCCGGAAATTTCACAGGTCAGAAAAGCTTAAACCCTGACGTTCAAAAACACCTCGAGACGTGTTCCTTTATTTATGTTCAGTTTTATTCATTTCAAAGTGTTTCCTTATTTAAATATGTTTAATAATTTTGTTCTTGCATTTTTTTCCCTCCCTTGATAGTTTCTTGTTGGTATCGTAATATATAGTTTGACCCTGCTGACTCTCCGTACTTTGGACGAACTGTGGTTGAACGTTACCTAGTGTTTGACGTTGGACAGGTGGGTGTGTCAGAAAGCCTGCTAACAGTTTGTCTTTTATTTTATCCATCAGGAGCTCTGCCAGGTTCTCCAGCAGCCTGACGTCAAAGTCCTGAAAAACTACATTAAGGTACGAGTTGTTGTTCTTTCTTGGTTTACGGCCGAGTTCACCTGTTTCATTTCTACTAATGACCTTTTTTTATGTCAACAGGCGTTCTTCCAGCGAGGAAAACTGTAGGGAAAAAACCTGGAAGTTCACGGGGACTGAAGGACTCTTCACAGGAAGTGGTCATACTGCCACTCAACAATTGAAAAATACAGGACCTTAGCATAGGCGCTGCTCTTGCACTTAGAATTAAATGCATAACAAAGCCCAGCTTGTCTAAGTCGGGGACGTGGAACGAAGCCTGGTGAAACCCCTCCCTCTGAGATCAGCAGATGTGCAGGAGCGCCACGTCTGCTCAGAAACGTGGAGAACTTTGTGGACGCCATGAGGAAAGGGCTTTTTTTTTTTTTTTTTTCCTTTTTCAGGAGAGGATGCCTCTTGTCGGGAAAAGATTGGGTAATTATCCTCAGTGACCTTCTAGGTTAGAAGAATCAATAGCTTTACACTCACATTAGAAACCACATTTCAGAACAGGCTAGACTGAGTTTTAGAAGAAGGAAGAATAAAAAGGGCTGACGCATTATTCTTATTTAAAATGTGGCTTTTTGTTTTGTTTTTTTTTAAACATACATGCTGAGGAGTGAACGGTTGGTTTTAGGTTTGAAGTGAAACGTTACAGCCCGACTCGATCTGCAGATCAAGTATTATCTTGTTACCTGATCAGACGGAGATCCTCGGCGTGGATTTTAAAACCGAAGACACCACATTTTTGTTTGCTGGATGTGGCTGACTTTTTTTTTTTTTTCAAATTTCAGATGGAAATGAAAATGTAATGGAGGAACAAAGTGTAAATAAGAGAATAAGATGTTAAAAATGTAAATAAAATTCCTAGGTTTAGTTTCTTTTTGTTTTTTAAATATTCATTCCCATCTGGAAACCATGTGCGGAGGCCCATTTATGCCAGGGAAAAAAATGTAATATAAAAGTGAAAATTTCCGATTTGTGGCATCAAAAGTTTATACAAAAAATTAAATATGCGTTCTTAAAACTTTTTGTTTATAAATCAATGGAGTATTCAATTAAATTCACTTTCAGAATGAACATTTTATTCCAGGTATTTTCTTATAAATGCAACTTGATGAGTATTAACACAATTTTGTATTGGTTTTTTGAATTTTCTTTTTGGTTACCTTATGGGGACTCAATGCGTAAAAATTTTGTTTTACATAATTTCATAAAAAGTGAATATTTAAACTTACTATAAAGCGTGACTTTAAAGTAAAACTATAAATTTCACCGATGTAACTTTTACACAAAACATTTGACCCACACCATTAGTTTTACTACTTCAATACAAAAATCATGTAAATTGAATTAATCAGTACATGGTTATATTTATTATTGCACTGACACATCTTTAAAAAAAAACATTTCGTTTGATAAATTTAAAAATTACAATTTGCAAAGGTTGCAAGTTACTCTGTTGTGACTTAAAAGCTTGCTGTGGCTTTTTGTTTGGTTTTTTTTCTCGACCTTAAAGTCACAGTTTTAGGTTGTTTGAAATTAAAAATTTAACAGGTCTGATCTGAAAGTAAACATAAATATGTTTATTATTCCAAAAGTTTATCCGGTTATTAACTGCTTTGATGTATTTAGTCAAACATGAGTGACTTTTTTTTTTTTGATTGAGTAATTAACATTTTTGATGCAGTTTCTCAATATTTTGAGGTTTGCTGTATTCAGTTAAGTTGTGAGTTTCTATGACTTTCATAGATTTTACATTATTCATATCATCAATTTATTAATTAAATATTTTGTTCTAGTCTCTTATAGTTTAACGTTTGGCAATTGAAAAATGTTTTTTCGGGGAAGAAATGACTTATTCTGAGTATTTGTACTTTTGATGCCTCAAATCTCAAAATCTAAAACTTGAAAAAAAATCTGAACAATAATAAATGTAATCTAGCATTGAAATTGTTGTGATTTATTCAGTAATGCTGATTTACCAAACTTAAAATTTGAATCTGTTCATCTCTAATTTGGACAACTTTCATTCCTTTTTCTTGGCATATGAGGACCGTAGAAATCACAACTAAATCATGCGTATCTCCTGTAAAAACAGACCATTGCTGTTTGCAGAAGCAGCTCGATTAATTTTATATTGCAGTGACAATTCAGGACAATTCATTATGCAACACTTTTACTGTGAAGGAGCTGCTAAACAGTTATAACTGTCCTGAAACAGCAACAATCTGTACAGATGCTCTTCACACCTCCAGATTTTGTGACACCCTGGAAATATTTCCAATGTTTGAATAAGTCGGTGTGTTCATCGTAATTTGCTGTAATTTTCCTGAAACTTTGCCTTTGGACAACCTGCTGAGAAAGTGCCTGAAATTGTTGGTTCCAGTTAAAAGGGGACATCTTACACTCTCAAGAAATCCAGCGGGGGAAAAAATCTAATCAACGATAGTAATTTTTTTTTTTTCTATAAAGAAAAGGCTCCGTAATTTACCCAAAAAGCGAATGTTTATTTGAGGAGTAACAGTTGTCAGCTGCGTATTAACACGGATTGAATTGGATGTACAGTTTGCCAATTAATGCTGCAGAACGGATTTGATGACAACAAAAATCTAATGAAATGTCATTAAATCATTGTTTACCTTTTCAGTTAACTGTAATACAGTTGTTTTTTCTCCTCTGTGGTGAATTTAAAGATGCTATCTCTTCAAACAATATCTGATATTAATGCATATGAAATAAAAAGAAAAACATTTGCTTTATTAGACAAATACAAATATCACATTCATAGTGAGCCTGAACTAAAATGTGAATATTTTCAGCTTTTTTAAAAAAAAAAAATCGTAAATAGTTTATTTTTGGCAGATGTGGGCTTCCATAGACCTAGCAAAGTGCTAGTGGTCTAAATACATGGTTTAACGCAGGGCAATTGGTTTCTGGCTCTGATATAATCCACCTCAGTTCTCTGGTGATATGAAAGAACTCACTCAATAATGTTAGGTTAATAAAAGCTGCCAAGCTAAGTACGCGAAAACAGTTAGCCTGCTTAGCTACAAATATCTGTGGTTAGAAATTATTTTATTAGCATTTTGAACGTTATGTCCCATTTATAAATTGACCAGAGTGTTGTTACCGCAACTTTAACCCAGCTTAGTATAAATAGCTAAAGAGGCCTGTTACCTAATTAAAGGTAGATTTTAGTTTTATCTGGTTTAGCTAACAAGCTAATGCTAATTGCTGCTAAAACAAAGATCTGACATTTCTATATTTTTATCCAAAAAAAATCCATTGTTATTGAAATTATTTACAGTAGTTATTAAATGTGTGGGTTTTTTGTCTTTGGTTTTTTTTTTGTCAGTGTAGGCTAGGCTTGCGGTTCCTCCCATTTCAATTTCCGCGTTATGTTAAGCTAGGCTAAAAGGATCTATAGGGTACAGGGTTTTGTTTTGTTTGTTTTTTTTTTTTGGGGGGGGGTACCTGTTTTTAAAAGGCTTCAAATGTTTTATTCCTAATTAATAACAATGAAAATTAAACATAACCATGATGATGTTAGTATATCACAAAGATGGTCAAAGCTAAAACGATGTAAAAAGCAAACAAAAAAAAAAAAAAAACCAACATTACAGTGGCTGCTTATACCCTTTGTAATGTTAGCTATGTTGACTGGTAGCTGTTTTGATGACACGCTGATTAGCAGTTTCTCTGATTTCGTTTCCCTTGATTTCAGTCTTTGTGCTAAACTAAACTAATTGCAGTTTGGATTTGGATTTTCTCAATTCTATTTGCAGACTGTAAATTTCTTAGCAACATATAAAAGCCACATTCCGCCACTGAAAATTTAAAAAAGGTCCCAGCGTTGATACAAAAATGCACTCAAGTTGTCTTCTATAGAAATACAAAAACATTTATTAAATGTCAGGGGTTTTTGGGGGGGGAGTTGGGTTTTTGTTTTTTTAGGTGACCTTTCTTTTAAAAGAATGTCTGTAGCGAAATTAAAACTTTCCTTCAGGGAGATGCTCAGCTGGATTTTACTCCAAGTCTGAGAGTTTACTGTTTAGCTTAGCTTAGCATAAAGACTGTAAATGACTAGCTTAGCTCTGTCCAAAGTAAAACTACACCTGATGAGCACCTGTTTCTAATGACTGTAAATGAAAGACTGGAATTATTGCTTGTTTAATATCTCCCTTTCTGAAAATGCCGAACGCTTTTAAAAAACACTCAGCTGTTACACTAACACCAGGATCTACACCTTGTAGTCTCTATAGAAAAATGTGCACCTCCACATGTTGTTCATGCCCCATCAGCTTGAAGTGACTTTTTTATACCGTAGAAGTATTCACGCCGACACTAAGGGTCAGCTCTGCAAATCCGTCAACCCACAAAAAAGCAGAATCAGGTTTTTTGTTTTGTTTTTTAATTTAAAGGATTTAATGGATGTTTGAATTTTCAGGTTATATTTTCCTGTAAGTGGTCCTGAGCAGAGAGAGGAGAACTGAAAAATTGCCAAATAAATACATTTTATTGATGGTGAAATGTGTTGACTTTTATTTTTGAACCTTCTGTTTGAATGTCCATAAAAAAAGTGTTCACTAATCAGCCACCTCATCCTTTTTTTATTTATATATCTGGATAAAGATGCAGTAAAAGTTCAGAAATTGGCTTCATTTTATATGATGTATGGAGGTATATTCGTGCCACAATAGCTAAGCAAAGTTTACAACTAAGATGTATATTAATAATATTGACAAAGTGAAGTATTTGTAAATTAATAAATTCAGTCCTACATCCATGTGAATTATTTGGGGTCTTTAATTTGAAAAGATTTGCATTTCTTTTCATCATCTGCACAAAGGAAATATTGTGACATCCAGGCTCTGTTATTACTAATATTAACAGCTCACATAAAAAAAAAAGTTGATTTCTGTAGTTAAGCAGCTCAGTCCTTGATGATCATAAAGACTTAAATATGTTAGACAAGTTTGTAAACTTCAATTTATGTAAATGTTTGAAGGAAACAGCAAATATCATTCAGTAAAGTCAGTCTCAGGTTCTGTAATAACGTTTTTATTTTAACCCTGTTGAACCACGCAAATTATTTCCTTTAATTTTTTGTTTGCTGTCGTAATGTGAGATTAAATCTCTGAGCCTACATGTGGGATTAGGACAGTGACTTTGACTTTACCTCCTCTACAGAGATCATGTGACTGCTTTTATTTGGTTAACGTGTCCGGAAACGTTCCCAGAGGTGGATCCTGAGATGTAATGGAATAAAATATGAGAAATCCACAAATTCTTTCAGTTTTGCTTCTTGAGAAGAAGCTAAACTCACAGCTCTGACATTTACGTCCTAAAACAGGAGAACATCATTCATCCACAGCACATCTGTTTTCATTTTATAAAATCTTTTTTTCTCACCGTGGACCAAACACTTCACAGGTGTTTGTATTCTCAGCGGCAGTGGAAAACAAAGACTGAACCCGTTCACTGCACACTTGGTTCTTTATTGAAGTCGATCTTTTTTGCAAACTAAACAGAAATTAAACATGTTTACGTTTTCTCAGACAGTCTTCGTTATTACGCACATTTAAGGCATGAATTCGATTTTTATTGCAGTAGTGTGAGCACACTGAAATGAAAGCAGATTTCTGCATTTATCTCAAAGGATTCAGATCCAGCTTTTCTTCTGGGACTCACTTCATGCTGAGCGGAGAAAAATTTCAGCCGCAGTGGCTCGTTTTTTGATCTGCAAGAAGTGCAGCCGCTCATTTCTGAGCTCATGAAGCAGAAACTGGAAACTACAGCGGCCACTTCAGTCCTGAGAGGTGACCTCTGACCTCCACTGCAGTGCGATCTGGTTTTCTTGGCAACCAAACAAAAACAGAATGTTTTTTTTTTGTTTTGTTTTTTTTAAATCCTTCTTTAGCGTAAATTCTCTCCAAACAGAAAAGTCGTGTTTATCGTCTTTCGCCCATGAGTCATTTCTGTGGTTCAGCTTCATCCTTTGATGACAGCGATCGGCCTCAGTTTGATTGCCTTCTTGCTGATGCCAGCCTCATGACAGGTGTTCACCACGTCTGTCACGTTTTTGTATGATTCAGGAGCCTTAACAAAAAAAAAAAAAGTCAGACGCAAACAGAAAACAGCTTAAAGTGCATAAAAACCACCCTGACTCCTCCCCCTCACCTCCTCCATCACGAGTTTGGGCGACGCCACCCGGATGGCAATGCCCATGTCGGCCAGTTTGTCCAGGACGTCCTGGAAGTCCAGGTTCCTGCGTGACTTTGCTCGAGAGAGCGCTCGGCCCTGAAACAGACAGGAAGTTGCTTAAAGACATGAAACAAACCAAGGTTGACCATGTGACAGCGCGAAGGGCGCTCAGACTCGTACCGCTCCATGACAGGTGGTCCCAAACGTCTCCATCATGCCCTGCTCGGTCCCCGTCAGGACGTAGCTGCAGGTCCCCATCGTTCCACCGATGAGCACCGGCTGACCTGTGAGCTGGAAATGGCAGCGAGTTCAGGCAAGACTCACATCATGATGGCGAGTAAACAGACGAACATGACGCGCTCTTACCTGGTAGTCGACGGGGATGAGGGGGTGGTGAGGGGGGAAGGCTCGCGTGGATCCTTTGCGGTGAACGAGCAGCGTCCTCTGCTTCCCATCCACAATGTGCTCCTCCACTTTGGCGATGTTGTGAGAGACGTCGTAGATGACGTGCATGTCAAGGTCATCCGGCGTCGTACCGAACACTTTGGAGAAGGCCTGAAAGACACGAAAACCGCTTTTACAGACTCCGCTCACCCAAACCCCCTCCCCATAACGATCATAGCAGAATCGGGACATTGTTAGATTCCACAGCAATCCGATGCCGGAAGTTCAAATTACAGAATATCCTATAAATGAAATGAAAACAAAAGAAATACACAAAAATTATGAATTAAATAAAAGTTAAAAGATTAAAAAAAATTATAAAAAATGTAACGAAAATAAAAAACAAATGAACAGAAGCAGAAGTTGAATTTTCTATCACATTAATGATTTTTACAGTTGTATTTTTATATTATTTGTGGTGCGTTTAAGTGCATTCGTCGAATCCCCGACTCGGAGTGGAACAGAGTGGGTTCATCCTCCTGATCATGGAACTCACTTCTTCATGAGAAGAGCTGCGCTTTAAGCACCATGTGAGGTCACTTCTCTTGTTAGGGCGGGTGCAGCGGTGCGTTTATGACCCGAGAGTGGCTCAGGTGAGCGTACCTGTCTGGTGAGGAAGGTCATGGAGGAGCGGTTGACCCAGGCGTAGTTTCCTGCGGCTGCCATGCCTTTCAGGTAATCCTGCCCCTCAGGAGAGTTGATTTGAGCGCAGGCCAGCTGTCGATCGTTCACCGTGATTTTGTCACGCTTCATCGCCTTCTCCATGGCAACCAGAGCATCTGTAAATATCACCAGGTGTTTTCGTTGATAATTTAAAAGGCAGAAGTGAAGGTTTGCAATATTCGGCGGCACTCGTACCTGTGGCGACCTGATGCCCGAGGCCTCGGCTGCCGCTGTGGATCATCACACACACCTGGCCTTTGTGGTCAATGCCCATCTTCTTGGCGGCGTAGTCGTTGTAGATCTCATCCACCACCTGGATCTCAGCATAGTGGTTTCCTGCTCCCAGAGTGCCGAGCTGCAACACACACACACACACACACACAGCTTTAGACACCAGCAGAGGGTTGCAGGTGTGAAAACAGGTGTGAGCTGCAGGGCTACCTGCGGCAGGCCTCTCTTCTTGGCCTTGGAGGACACCTTGTTGGGGTCGGCCTGCAGCATGCGCCCGTACTCTTCGCAGTGCTCCTTATCCTCGGCCCAGGCGTAGCCCTCCCTTAGAGACCAGTCCATGCCCATTTCCAGCGCCTCCTCCAGGTCCCTGGTGACACATGCATTAGTCAGGTGACACACAGGTGAGGAGAGGCAGGTCTGTTCTGTTCTACTTACTTGGCGCCCATCGGGATGACGCCTTTGGAGCCGACTCCCACAGGGATGTGGTCGAACAGTGACTGAGCGAGCTGCTCCTTCACCGGCTGGACATCGCCCTCGTCCAGGTTTGTCCTCAGCAGGCGGACACCGCAGTTTATGTCGAAGCCCACGCCACCTGGAGGGCACATGGGAAGTACTGTTTTAACAGGGTGGGTCACAGAGTAAGTTTCATGACGGGTGACCACAGCAGGGAAATCCACAGGTTGGAAGATTCTTTTACTTCCTGCACACAGCTTCTCACCAAACTCCATTCATTTTTCATCAGGTTTTAGAGGACACTGCTTATGTTTTATCATAGTACTTCCTACCTGGAGACACCACGGAATTGGGGTTGTCCATGTCAAAGGCTGCCATGTTCCCGATAGCAAATCCGTACCCAGAGTGGACATCTGGCAGGCCGATGGATTTCTGCCGACCAATCAGAGACACCCTGAGTACGAAGCAAAACATTTACTGTGGACACATACAGAACGGCAACACTCACGTTAACAATCCCCGGCAGCGCCGCCACATTCCCAATCTGCTTCATGGCTGGAAGGAACCCGCCAACACCTGAGGAGGAGGAACAGAGAGAAATGAGGAGGGTGGAGGTCAGGTAGAGGGGGCTCTCAGAGGGGTTCAAAGGTCACCGACCTCCTCCTCGGCAGGCATTACGAAGCTCCTCGAACATAAGCTTCTCCAGAGACTCGTTCACGTAGAAAACTCCTTCCACCTAAAGAGGAAAAGGAGGAGGAGTCAAGAGGTGACAGCAGAGGAAATAAAAGCTTTTAAGGAGCGTCCCTGCTTCGCTTTAATGATTATTCTGAATCTTTCTTCTGTGAGACAATGAAACCAACTGAAAACAAACTACAATGGAGCAGAGTCACCTCCTCCCAGCGTCCACCCGCGGGTGGAGCAGAACAGATACACTTAAAACTTTCGTAAATCATTTTAAGCGTTTTTAAGTTTGTGCTGCTGTTCAGAATCATTTTTAGCCTCGTGCTTATTCGGCATTTCTCGGGGGTTCCGTCAGCTCCTGTGTTCTACTGTCTCTGATGTTCTCCTCTCATGCCGTGGACACCTGTGTTTAATCAAGTCACCTGCAGCTGTCAGCCCGGCAGCCACGTTACCAGCTAGCTGTGAGCTGTTATCTGTTAGCTCGTACCTGCATGTTGGGGACGAAGCCCTTTTTGATTCTCCAGGAGGTGGAGGAGATTTTATCCAGAAACTGCAGCTCATCATTGTAACTGCGACTCATGACTCCACAAACGACCAAAAACGGCAAATCTCACTCTTTAACGCCGCGTTTCACTGGCTGTCTAATGTAAGATTAGAAAAAGAAGCCGAAGAAAAGATTCTTCTTCGGCTTCTTTTTCTTCTACGCTCAACAGGCTGCACGCGCAATTACTGCCACCTACTGTTCAGTGTTCCACAGTTATTCTCTATGCGGTATTATCCTCAGTAGAACAGCAGTGTGTGGACGTGCTCCAGGATCTCTCTGCTCCTCCTGCTCTGCCTGCGGGTTCAATTTCTGTGATGGAAACACTTCCTGCCCTCTGTGAGGAGTTCCTGCCCGTGACAATGCTCCCACACTCACACATGTCCTTGCTGTATTGTGAATCATAAACTAAACCCTTCCCTTTCAGTCATTTCCGACAACCTTTGCTGTCGTTCATCGATGATGTATTTATGATTTCTGGGTATTCTGGTGGCCCACGCTGCAAATAAGACACGGCCCTGTCCTCCTGAACTATGTGTTCAGTCTGCTCTTTCCATCAGTCACTAATTTGTTTTTTCTTTTCTGATTTCTTTTTCTTGTCATGGCAATACTGTTGTGGAATAAAAGTGCTCCACATAGAGTCTTTGGCTGAATTACATCCAGCTTCTTGGCTTTTTAATCACTGAATTTTTGGAGATTCAAAGCGTCATTAAATAAATATTATATAATAAATACTGAGATGGTTACTATGGAGATAAATGACAGAGACAGACACTGCTGAGTGAGATCCACTGACTTATATTAGCAAAGAAAGAGAGAGCAGCACTGATCTGTGAATTCATTAAATGATCTCAAGATATAATAGACAGAAATAAGAAGCGGAAATTTTCAACTTAAACCATCATCTTGTTTTTCTTCTACTTTCAGCAGAAAATACGGTAAGGGTACATCTTTCACTATCTTACAATGCTGTGATTGCAGACATTTCCCAACTCTCTGTGAAAGGTACTCATGGTCAATGAGTACCATTGATCAACGCGCTTTGATCAACGGGCTTCGATCAGTGGTTATTGATAATGATAATGAGAATTTGCATATTAATGATCAAGGAACTGACCTCACAGCCCACCATTCATTCAGTGGGCTAGTTTCAGTTATCGTGCAAATGTACTGTTTATAATGCTGGGGAAACCCGCAGTCAGCTGAGACTGAAGAAGTCACTTGAATGAGTGATGAAACGTTTCTCCCACTGACAACGCTACGTCCAGATGAACAGAATCAACCTTTTGGGGAACATAAAATTCCGTTATTTAAACAGTATATAAAGATGATTAATTTTATCTCCCCTGCAGATTTATTCATACCAATCGAAATGTTCTGGAGAATACTCAGGATTTTATGCAGCCCGGTTGCCGTATTTGTAGTTTTACGAAAGTTTATTTTGGATAATGATTCAGGAAGTTTAGTGACAAGCCTTCAAAACAAAAGCAGAATCTACACAAAGCAACATAATGCATGCGTACATATAAATAAAAAATATAAATACATGCATCTAATTTAATAAAAGTTGTTATTTTGAAAAGTTGGGCCTTTTTACGGCATAATACATTTATTCTAACAGAATTATTAAGATTTTTTTTTTAAAAAAAACTTTGGTTTATAAACTTTTGATTTGAGTGCCCTCGACGTGTTATATTATGAAAATCCATCCCGGAAGCGGTGTGTCCGTGTTTTGGGGCGCTGCAGGTTTGTGTGTTTACAGAGAAGCACATGAAGAGTCGTGGATGTCTTCCCGATAGTTCACGGTGTGAGTGTTCTTCTGTTTGACTTCCAGCTTTCAGGACTACAAACGCTACTTAACCCGGTTAGTTAACACTAACCCGCGCTAAGCAGCAGCAGTGTCAGTGAAACGTTAGCTAACGATTAGACTGCGGAAATGAAAACGAAACGTTTGTTTTCACGCAGCTCTTTACATATTTTTCTACCTCAGAGAACCAACGACGCTCTGAAATCAGCGCAAAATGAACGAAAATCCTCTAAATGTGACGTTTTAGCGGTAAAGCGGAGCTAAAGCTGCTAAGAAACTTCAAAACGTCATTAGTGACTCATCAAAAGTTAAATTTGGCAGATTTGTAATGAGGTTTCGTACTTAATGAGCTAAAGTTTACTGTGAGGTTTGGATTTGAATCAGAGTCACTTTGTGCACAGTAAAAATCACGTGATACTTTTTTAATATGTGCACAGATTAAATTAATGTTAGTTAAAGTTCATTAGATATTACGTCACTGTTCACTGATGATCCGATTTAGCAGCTGGAATCTTTTCACCAGACTCCATTCACTTTTTATCTGTTTTTAGTGAAATTTGACAACATATTTTTATGAGAAACACAAATACAATAAGAAACGAAAAATAAGAACCTGATAACAAAAATGAAATAGATTAATACATACTAAAGAAATGAATACAATTACATACAAAAATAATAATTATTAGTAAAAATTAGAAATGAAACAATTAAACATTAATAGAAAGATGATTAAAATAAAGAAAAAATATAATAATAATAATGTCTGTGAAGGTTCTCAGAACTGAAGAAGCTTCTCGGATGAGAGGTGAAACGTCTTCAAGTAACTTAAAGAAGTCCAGACACTTTTCTTTGCAAGCTCCTTTGAATAATAATAACAATAATAATAATAATAATAATAATAATAAAGGAATAAAACAAAGTTGCATATAAATAAAATATTAAATACAACATGGAAATAAAATTATATGAAAAATCAGACTGCGTGATATAAAATCCAAACATGTGAATACAGTTCTGTTAAGAGCATCATGGCCCTCTGCAGTCTGTGCATTACTTAGTGTGAGTCCTCTTCCTGTGTCTGTGTGTGTGAGCAGCATCATGAAGCTGCGAGTTCGGATCAACAGGCAGACCAGCCGGGTGGAGTTACTTGGAGAAGATCCCAGTTTGAAAGAGCTCAGAGATCACATCCAGGAGATGCTGTTGTCCTCACATGGACTCAGGTCGGTGCTGCACATGTCTAACTCTGTAATCTGAGTTGTGGTTTATAAAGTTTCAGTTATTTGACTCCCTACTTGCGCTTCAGTTCAGACACAGAGTTTGGTTTGTCTCTGAACGGCTCCAAGCTGCTCACGGACACTGCTCAGACTTTGGCGTCCTGCGGCATCGTGTCCGGAGATTTGATCTGTGTCCATCTGCCTCAGTCTGAAGCCACAGCTGCCGCCGGTTCAACCAGCTCAGCCTCGTCTACAAGCTCCACCTACACGGCAGCCAAGAGCTCTGCAAACCAGAGGCAAAGCCAGCAGACCCCCATCATGGCCTCCACTCAGGTATGATGTTCACCTCCAGCAGGTTGTTCAGGTGGGCTGGATAAGTGTGTGAGACATATCGAGCCTGTTTCCAGTCCATGTGTGGGAGATCAGTCTACACAGACTGTAGACTGCCTCGGCCAGAGATCAGAAACAGGCCCAGAAAGCATCCACATACTTCTGGCTTCAGTGCACAGTTTCTGTTTTACTTTCTCGTGTTTTTATGAGCTGAATTATAACATAAAATAATTCGCAAATACAGACACACCACAGAGCACACAGCAAGGGTTAAAGCTGGTTTAAAGGGCCACACCCCCCTCACAGCTTCTCTTCTGTGGATCCACACGAGGACACACTTAATTTCACATCATCCAACACTGATGACACTCTGACTCATCTCAGTTTGCATCAGCAGCATCAGACTGAAAGTGTTTAGGTGAACCAGCTGTGCCTCTGAAACCTGGGATGTTTTGTTTGGAGCTGGACGAATTCACAGGTTCAAAAGCTTTCTCACCTGATACATACAAGCTTTCAGGGAACTTTGGATTAAAGAACAGTTAAAAGTCATGGGCGTGCCAGCCTTCATCGTGGAAGCACCGGCTCTCTCACAGCAGTAGAAATCTTCACATCTGGAAAGCTGCAGGAGTCTAACGGAGCATTTTCAGACACATCCTCAGCTTCATATCACCAGACACATTTTTAAATAGCGAAGTCTCAGTTAGCCTGAGAAGCGTTTATATATTTGGTGCTTGGGGCGCTTTTAAATCCTTACAGATGTGCATCTCATGAACAGCTGGAGAGAAAAACAAAGTTCTGCAAAAGTTTAAAAGGACGAGCTTTACCCATTGCAGGAGATGGTCTCCAGTGTTACTGGTGCCAAAAAATAAAAACAAACTCACTGGAAGAGCATAGTGGGCGTTAAATCTGTGTAATGGTTTGATGGTATTTTAAAATTCCCTATCATTCTGAAAATGAAGACAAACACTGATTTATAATCGTACGGTGTTCCACAAGGTTCCCATCCAGGCCCCTTGCTGTTTGTCTTTTACAGTTGTCACCACAAGTATTTGAAAACTGACAGAGCCTTTGTAGTTTAGCCTCGTGGGTCATCACAGAATATTTCATATCAAACAATAAGACTTTGAGCTTTAACTCGAGAAGACAACAAAGTGTTGCATTGACTGTTCAGGAATTTCAGCCAATTACAGTCCTGCATTTTCAAAGGCTGGTCAGCAGAGGCATCATTGTTCACATACTTATGGATCTGACTGTGTTTTGATGTTTGTGGTCAGCTGTAACATTAAAGGAGATCAGCCTTGACCTGTTTATGGCAGGTTGTTGTTTTTGATGTTGTTCATGTCTGTTTTATATTTTAAGTTATTATAACAAAGAAACAACAGCAGATTATTTTAGCCTGTGTCACTCATCAGACCTGACGAGGGGCGTAGACGTGCCCAAGCTCACAGTTTTGTTGTTGGTAAACAGCCGAGCAGCAGCAGCAGTGTCAGTGGGGCTGCCGGTCCTGCAGTCCTTTCAGAGTCCCAGCCGTCCTGTGAGATGCTGGACTCTGAATCTTCAGCCACCATCTGGGAGCCAATGCTGTGCGGTGAGGCCGAGGAAGGTCAGGCACCACTCTCTCTGGAGCTCCTGTACCACACGGCCCAGCCAACAAGTCCCAATGATGCCATCATGGTGGCCGGACATCTCCTGATGCTCGAGACTGGGTTCATTGCTCAGGTGAGGCGAGGGGGACAGGTTAATATCCTGCTGAGTAAACAGGTGAAGGCAGACGCTTTGAGTAAGTGTGTGCGCCTCCACAGGGCACCGAGCTGAAGCCCGGTGAGATGCCTGCTGGATGGAGGTGTGCAGGTGGAGTCTACAAGCTGCAGTACACTCATCCTCTGTGTGAGAGCAGCCTGGCCTCGGTGGTGGCTGTGTGCATGGGCCCAATGCTCGTCATGAACAGTGAGTCCTCTTTAAATGGGCTGAATTTATTTTTCTTTGACCTTTTAGTGTTCAACTCCCACTGTGTTTCTGACCTGTTTCTTCTTCATGCAGCGACTCTGAAGGTTACAGAAACGGTCGACACTGTCCGCAAACTGTGTCTGAATGCATCCAGCTACGTGACCAACGAGTGGCCAGGTAAAGCTGTGATTGGTTGGCATAACGCCACCAGCACGGGAGCGTCTTTGATTAATTTTCTGTGTCTGATGTTGTTCAGGAGGAAGTGCTGCAGCAGCATTTAAAGACCTCAGCAAACTGTCCCGACTCTTCAAAGACCAGCTGGCGTACCCACTGATCGCCACCGCCAGAGAAGGTAACGCCCCCTCTCAGATGAGTCACAACATGTTGGTGCTGACATCATCCAGTTCATCAGCTTTAATCAGAGAAAACCTCAGAGAAGTTAAATTGCTGTGAACATTAGCCATGTTACAGCTTTTAGTGAGTTTAAGAAAGATTTTATTTAAATCGATGTTCAATTTCATTAAAATTAAAATGTAAAACTCAAAATCCCACTCATAAAAAACATACAGGGCAAAGAGAATTATATTAACCAATCAAAATCTTAATGAAAGTTATTTAAATTTATACAAAATTAAAAGATTACTCCTTGAATTTGGAGCTTTATTAAAAAATTTTAAGACATTTTGACATGTAATTAAAGTGTCTCTTAAACTGTTCACTTGCATTATGTAAGGGGATTACATTATTAAATAACTTCACCATAAATTAGCAGTAAGTGCCTCTAAAAGTCAAATTTATTCTGTATTTTATCACCTAGGGCAGGGGTGTCAAACTCCAGACCTCGGGGGCCGGTGTCCTGCAGGTTTTAGATCTCACCCAGGGTCAACACACTTGAAACAAATGATTAGTTCATTACCAGGCCTCTGGAGAACTTCAAGACATGTTGAGGAGGTCATTTAGTGATTTAAATCAGCTGTGTTGGATCAAGGACACATCTAAAACCTGCAGGACATCTGCCCTCGAGGCCTGGAGTTCGACACCTGTGACCTACGGTGTTCCCCAGGGTTCCAGTTTAGGTCCTCTGGTGTTTGACTTCTATGTGCTTCGAACTGAGAAGATTAGCAGCTTTAAAAGTTACATGTAGATGACACTCAATTTTACGTTTCTTATGATCAAAACATATTTTGATCGAAATCCCATTTTATCAACTACATCATCTTATTTAAATACCAAAGAACAAATAACTTTTATTTGTAGTAAAAAAGTGTTGGATAAAGAACTTATATGAGTGTCCATGAAAGGTTTCATCCCAACCTATGAAGCCATGAGTTAAAAAAAAAAAAAAAAAAAAAAAAAGAAGGATTACAGATTATTTTGCCATCTTAAATTCGTTTTTTACTTTCAGACTTGAGTTCATACAGAGTTTCCTTTTCTAGTTTTTCTTTTCACACAAACTCATTTGTTTTGTAATAAACTATTTCATGTTAATATCCCGAAGAATTCTAGTAAAATCTGTCCCGAAACATTTGGGAAGCTGCTTTAGAGGAACAGCTTGTTTGACTCATATGAGCTTGAGTCGCGTTTTCATTGATGATGTTTCTCTGTAAGCAGATGCTAACGTGCTAACATGCTAATGTCTGGTACTGACAGTCTGTGATGTGTTTCAGCGATGGCCCTCCCCGTGGCGTTCGGTCTGCCTGCTCTTCCTCCGGAGCTGCTCCTCAGAGTCCTCCGCCTGCTCGACGTTCGCTCTGTGGTCAGACTGTCGGCGGTAAGCCGGCACTTCAACGTCGCCACAGCAGACTCGTCGCTGTGGAGACATCTGTACCGCCGCGACTTCGCAGGTGGAAAAAGAGTCCTTAAAACTATTTCATTTATTTTTAAAATTATTTCTGCAAATTTCTCTAACTATGGGTCAAATGTTCCACTGACACTGTTTAAATGTTCTTTTTCATGTGCTTTTTAGATGTTCTTGATTTTTTTTCTATTTTTCACCCTTAGAACACCCTTAACTTATTAAAACCTGTTATAATGTCTTAATTTACTTATTAATTAAATAATTTTCAGTGAAGTTTTAAACAGCTTACTGTACATTAAATATGAGAATCTGAATAAGATAATTTAAATGACAGCATTAAAAAAGAAAATAACATTTAAAAAATGTAAAAACAAATCAGTCATTATTTTCTCCACAAATAAGCAGAAATTGTGGGGGAAACACCTGAATATCCACCGTGTTTAAGATAGTTTTTAGAAATAAATAAACTAAAAAGTATCAAAATATTTTCTAAATTTACACAGATTTGAAGTTGTGAAATGAGTCCATTAAATAAAGGTTTATTGATTGATTTATTGTGATTGTCCAGTTTTTCAACAAAATCATTATAATTAAAGTGACTGATTGTGTTTGCCGTTTTTCAGATTCAGGCTCAGGCAGATCCAGAGACACAGACTGGAAAGAGGTGAGAAACACACTTCATCAAAGTAAATAACTAAAGAACTGTAAACTCTTAAAACCTCCTAATGTGTCGTTTTTAATATGAATATTTTAAGGTAATAATAAATTACACTAATGTGGGGCAGATTGATGATAGCTCGCAGAATTTAAGTTTTAATGTGATTTGTTGTTGATTTTTTTTTTTTGGCATTTTTTGTGTAAATAATTTAATTTGTTTTTATTTGTTTTCCAGCTCTACAAAAAGTCGTACAAGTTTCGCTCTGAACTTCGAAACGCTGCCCCGACTCGCCCCCGCCCCCTCCTGCCTTTCCATCCAGGAGACATCTTCCACCCCATCCCCTACCCTCACTTCCCCCCGGTGCCGGGCATCATCGGTGGGGAATACGATCAGCGACCAAACCTGCCCCACGGCCTACTCCCCCGCCCCCGCTACGACCCCATAGGCCCGCTCGCAGACCCGCACAGACGACCTCGCCACGACTTCCACAGAATCCGACCAACGGGAGGGCGACCTTCAGACATCCGACGAGGATTCATCTGATCACTCCGTCACTGATCACATATCAATGACACAACTTCCTGTTTGACTCCGGGTTGACAAAAATTCATTTTCACAATAAAATCAGAATTTAAAACATTCTTTTTTTGATCAAGGTCTTTTTATTGAACAAAGAATTGCTTCCAACAACAATTATGGCAAAATTAACAAACAGTTGTGCCCCCACCCCCCCACCCACCCAGAACAGTGTAACTAAAACCCAGTCAGAGAGGAAAGGAGAGATAAAATAACATAAAATGAAATAATTTTACAGATACAAAGTAAATAATGAAATAGATGAACAACAGCAAGAGAAGAAAAAAAAAATACAAAAACAAAAAAAACAAAAAAAAAACCCCACTCGCACACACATTAAGCAATAGTATCCGGACTTAATCTTTCAAAGTAAGTAAGAAAAGGTTGCCATGTGTCATAGAACCTCCGAACCGAGCCTTTTACAGTGTAGCGGATCTTTTCCAGCTGAGTATAGTACATGACATCCTTAACCCATTGCCCATATACAGGTGGAAGTGGCTCTTTCCATTTCAATAATATCATTCTA